TAGTTTGGAAGTTGCCAGCCTAACTGTTGCTAGCATAGCCACACTGCCTGCCCGCGGTTGCCGAGCAACGGGAAAACTTTTTGGGACTACTTTATTTGTTGTCATTAAATAAACTTTTGGCATTCATAAAAGTGATCTGAAGTTTATTTTGTGTGTTAAGTTGGTACAAAGCAGTATAATAAGCGCCCTTCAGGGCGGAAGCAGACCCCTCCGCTGCGCGTCGGGGTCCGCTTCGCCCTGTCGGTACTTATTTTCCGATAATGACCTGTATGCTATACATTATCCCTTACTTATTCATTCACTCCATACAGGTGGTGATAAACTGCTACTGTAGCCACAGCTGCCCTGGGGCACACTGACAGAAGCGAGGCAACCAGTATGTGCCGTCGGCCCCTCCGACCACCACCAACCATTCACACACACACCAGACGCAATCTAGGCAATGCGGGTGAAGTGTCTTGCCTAAGGACACAACAGCAGTTTGGCACTTTACATCCGCAGCCGCCCCACTGTGGCACCTGGTGTTCCCAGAGGTTTCCCAAGTTTTAGGATCAATTATTATCTGATTTCGTCCCTATAAGAACAGCTCTGATCTTTTTAACAGAAATTATTTCACTTCATCTGCTCACTATTTGACTTCCGAGCAGGTACAAATCACAAATTGTGCACTTTAGTTAAATGCAAAACCGTGCTTTGTTTATAACGGGCCTCTTTTTTTAACATCAATGTAATAATCAAGTGTCTTTGTTTAGCACTTCACACCCCATCACCAGCCTTTCACCATCCGCTTTAAAACTGCTGGTGCTCCTTGTATGGAAAGAGCCCAAACAGTGGGATCTCCTCTCCTCCTCTGTGCTGAATAATGCAATCAGAGTGAGTGATTGTCAGAAGGAAGCACACTTAAGAACTGCCCATTGATTTGTGTGGATCTCCATACACACACACACACCTGGTAAGTATGACTCATCCAATGTCTACCCATTCCACCACAGTCTGAGTCGACAAGAGCGGTTGCTACACATTATCCATAAAGGAACCTAGTCTAGACAAATTGTACAATATTTTGGTACAAGTCACCAATTGTGTGGGGTAAGTATTTCAAGATCCTTTTTGATAAACAAGGGAGGCAGAATTTCAGATGTATGCAGATTAAAAATGTCTTCCGGAAAATGTGAGACAGACTTCTACTCTGACAATGTTCAAATCCAGGTTAAAAGTAGTTCTGTTTAGCAGTGCACACAACTGAAGGATTGTGTCTATATATGTGTTCTCTATTTTTTGTGTCTTAACTTTTGATTCTCTGATCTGTGTTGGTGATTTCAATGGTTTTGTTAAGTCCTCGGAGATGACTGATGTTATGATTTCTGAACTCTGAACATTGTAAAGTGCTTTGGTTGACTTTGGTCTGTAAAAAAATGCGCTATATAAACTATTTAGGGCTATACAAGAATGAATTGCATTGCATTGTATTCTGTTTAATGCAGATTTATGTATGGTTTTATTTTTTGTTTTCTCGTTTTGTGTACCACTTCGAGCCTTATAAATAAATTGTACAAATAAACGCTCCTTACCCTGTTAGTGTAAAGGGATGCTGCGATAACTATTCAATTATTTGTTGTTGAATGTTCGTCAATCGGCCAAGAATAAACTTTATCCAATGTATTGATGGCTGCCAAGTCTCTCTCTGTCCCTCCGTCAACATCCTATGGATCCAGGCCCAAGCCAGGCTCTTCAGACAGCACTTGTGGCACTGAACAAAATGTAATGAGAGCTTTGCCATGCCAGATCAACCCAGAGCACTTGAATGAAGAGCATGTGGGAGAAAGAAAGACTAGCTCCAAAACATGAAGTTCAAAACAGAGAAAATGAAAACAAAATCAAATGTCAGCAAAGGTTGCATTTCTAAGGGAATGTCCTTGAATGGCCCTCAACCTGAATAAATAAGAGGTTTGTGTCAAAAAAGGGGTAAAGTAGCCTACGAATAACTAACAAAAAATGATTCCTTACTAAACCTGGTTTTTAAGCCTGTTGTAAAAGAGCAAACAAAAAGGACAAGCCCTCTTCATACTTGCCTCTTATTGCCAAATATTAAACTTTTACACCTCTTTTATAGTTATTTTCAAGATAGAGATGTTATACTTGTTATTGAAAGCTAGGGTTAGATATTTTGTTTTATTTTAAGTAGTATTGCTATTGTTCACTTAACTTGTGATGTGTGCTCCTCTTTCCTACTGCTCTATAACTCGTGATACAACACTGACATTTCCCCACTGTGGGATGAATAAAAGATCTCTTAATGTTAATCTTCAGCCACAGGTGCAATCGCAAAAGGAGGATCCAGACCCAGCAGTAAAAACAAACCACTAATATAAACGGATTTTAGACTGAGGAACTACAACTTGGGAACTCCATCAAGATAAATGCAGAAGTGATTAATACGCCACTTTGAGTCTAATTTTTACACATTATTATTAATATTAATGTTTGTTTGAAAGGTTTCAAAAAGGTGTGGGCATAATTGAACAAAAAATTTAACATAACCTTTGAAGGGAGTAATTAACATTTATTTTTATGATCAATTAATTGATCTCAAAAGGTCAGTGAATATGGGATTTTTTTTTTACATTTGACCAAAACAAACACAAAGTGACGCCCCTGGAGAACATTTATTTGATTCTGCAGTCATTATACAAGCAAGTCAGTAATCTTTATTTATATAGCGCATTTCACAGACCAAGGTCACAAAGTGCTCTACAATGTTTTTGTTTTTTCATTCAAGTGCTTTTCTCCGTTCACTCCACTCACGGTGATGACAGAAGCGAGTCGCTGAACACTCCGACCATCACCATCCATTACGTTCATACCTATTGTAAATGTTTTTAGTGGTAGGGGAAACCGGAGCACCCAGAGGAAACCTACATTTAAACGTAGAAAACATACTCCACTCAGAAAGGCCCCGTCTGGAGGTGAAATCAATCCCAGGACCTTTTTGCTGACCGCAGTTTAAGTAAAAGGTCTACGATTCAATAACAATGGCTAAATGAGTTGACTAACATTTCAATAATTGATCAGTTGTTAAAAATAAAATACACACTATGAACTGTGAATGGAACATTGATGGCCAATTGTAAAATACATTGAAATCTACTACTAATATCATTAAGGGTCCAGCACTGATTTCTTTGACTGTGTCCACTCACTCAGCTCTCCTTTGCCCTGCTCTTTGTATTTGCCCGGATCTCCATCGATCTCCTGTTGTGATGATGCCCCTCAAACACTTTTTAATTGGACCCAAGTCAAACCCATTGCGGGACACAGCCGACTAAACCTGGTGTTATCAGCATCTACGCAGATGGGACTTGCAGCTGCTGAGGTTTTTTTCTCGATATGAAAAAGAAAATCATCAGCTGAGAGGAAGGAAGAAGCCTGTGTGGTAGATGGCGAAGGGAGGGAGATAATATTGATAAGGCCGCATAAGTGGAAGTCCTTGCTTTTCCTGTGGCCGCTGAGCAATAGACTATAAACTTATCAGCTGGAAAGAGAAATAAGGAGACAGCTTCGGTCGCTCATCCACAGCACAGGAGATGAGTTTAAGATAGAGCAGCTTTTCTATTGCAGAGACATTGTCGGGCGGGCAGCAGAGTGCAGGCAGTCACGTATTATGCATAAAGCTAGATCAATAAATTTTAATTTACAATTCCCTACTTTTGCATTAGTTCTATAATTCATTTGTAAGAGTCTAATAAAGTATATATAACTATTTCACCTTTCATACAGATCACGCAAATAATATCGAGTCTTTATAGGTAAATCTAAATGTCCTCATAAAACCATTTATAATAGCTTAATCACATTGCTTTCAACATGACCAACGGCCAGTTCCTTTCTGCACGTTTGACTGTGGTATAATAATTGTTAGTGGTTGCTCCATCCATCACGCTTTCAGCAATCTAATAAGGCGGCTACAAAAGCAGTCTGAAGGCTGCTAATAGCCCAATGTGCCGCGTGACTATTTATGAAGTATCCCAGTGTTATACAGAGCATTTCTGTCTGTGCTGCCGTCTCCCAAAGGGCATGAAAGTAAACAAGCGCCTTGTCAATCAACACATACAGTGACTGATGCGACGGAGAAGGTGCCGGTTCTACTGACGGTATTGCAGAAAAGGGGGGGAAGGGAGATGATCACTTTAAATGTCCAACAAAACCTTCTGAAGCAGAATGAGTGGCCCTGGCAAAAAGCAGATATTGGGGATTCAATACGTGAAGCGGGAGTACAATTGTTTCAAATCGCAGACAGCATGACAGCACTCCTCACTGTTGCCACGCGGAGGGAAGCGAGGGAAAAACAGTCGTGGAATTTGAGGGTCATTTGAAGAACACATGGACCAAAGCAAAACAGGAGACACAAGCTCCATTTTCAGTTCACGCCAGGGAACCAGAGACCTCTCACCCGCCCTTGCGCTCTCCCTTTCCCCCCGCTGTCCCCCCTCTTACCCCCTCTCCTACACAAGAGCTCAATCAATAGAAATGACAACGCAATTGGAAGGTCATCTGCAAGTACAGCGCTCTCTGTGTTGGTATGTTTCACCGATGTGCCACAACAACAGAAAACCAATTGTGCGTATAGGACTAGTTCTCGTCTCTCGCCATGGTCCCAGTTGAGCTGCAATCCATTCCTATATGGACATGCAAAATGGATCTCTATGTGCATGGACAGCTTCCTAATTAGCTGCTTTCAATCAGTATGCATACACAGCGTTAGTAAACACCCAGAGATAAACACACGTGTTGTAGAAATCCACCAAATACCCCATCACTAATGAGAGAAACGCATGGACTCACACGGCTTGCCTCTCGACACGTAAACACAGGGGCTACATATGGCTGGGCATGAGAACTACCATGCAGACACCAGCAGCAATAGCAGCAGTGAAGCAGAAAGACATTGCAAAACATAACGACACTATACACAGAGTTAATGGGGGAAAAGTGGTACTCACAGAATACTCAATGGTGCCTTTGGGTCTCTGGAACGACATGCGCCTCCCATCCTTCTTCTCAGGGGTCTTCTTCTGGCCGGTATCTGAAAGCAAGCGAGGGAAGGTACGCATCACATTCATGTTCCTCTATCCCCCACGCAGCCTGCCGTCACAAGCCGCCGTATCCCAGCAGCCCCGTGGCTAGACAGCTCATTCGTCAGCGATGAGTGAGCCAACCAGGCAGCCAGCGAATGTCAGCTCTCCAAGACACTTTTCCACCGGACGTCTCTCTCTCTCTCTCTCTCTCTCTCCTCTGTGTCCCGATGGCTCGCACACTGCCTCACATACTGGTTCTTCCACTATCTCTCCTGCCCTCTCTCCCTCTGCATTTGCTTATCCGAGCCGCCGCGCAGAGCAATGACACGGGCTTTAAGTAGTTCACCTTGCCCGAGACATGGAGCTGACCTCCATCGCTGCTATGAAGATGGATACAGTTGGGAAGCTGTTGACGGGAATGGAGAGGAGAGAGAGGAGAGGAAGGGAGGGAGGGGGGAGTGTGACGCGCTGGTTGGGCGATGAGGAATGCTGCCGGAGAGGTGGTTAAAACGGACAGGCAGGTATTTAAAGGGATATTACTGCTTTTGTTCAATATTCTTAAGACTTTTGTTTGTGGGAATGTGTGGCTGAAAAGGGGCAGACAATGTAAATGAAAGTATGTACATATATGATGGAGCGTATGCCACCTGCGTGTCTTCATTCATGTACACGTGTCCTATGAAATGAAATACAGGGGAAGCTTGGAGAATTAAAATATATTTTGTTATTTGGGCTGATATACAATAGACAAAGATACAACTATACAATAATGTACCCCTGGAAATATACTATAGATACATATACTGTGTGTGTGTGTGTGTGTATATATACATTTCATCTGGAGTTTACATCTATTAAAAAGTTTAAGTTGTGGGTGGGATCTTTGGAGAAGCACAAATGCTACAAAATCCTGTGAAAACGTACATCATAGAAGAGTCAATACAATCCCTCAAAAGGTCCACGAGTCAATTGAGCACTGTCTGTAACAACAATTTTATATATCACCCAAAAGTCATTCTCAATTGTGACGAAATAGACTGAACAACTAAAAATTCATACTAACACACTCATCCATTTCTACCACTGCCTAAAGGGAGTAGTTAATTTTTAGGTCCTCCGTTAACACAGATAGAAGAGATAGAAAAGATAAACAAAAAGCTATAATCCATCTCTAGAGACCAGCCTCGGCACTACATGCTTTTTCTGACAGTGTGCTAAGCTCTCGATTAAAAAGACCCAGCCGTTTTGATGACAACGCGAAATGACTTGAATCTTGAGCTCAATGAAAATGTGATTAATTGCGCGGACTCAAGTTAAAGCATGTAGGGGTCTTGTGTTATGCTATCATTGGATTGGAAGAAAAGGGGGAAGGATGGAAGGGACATGGGGCTGAGCGAGTGGAGTGAATACTACAGTGATGAGATAAAAGACAAGCTCCAGATGAAAGAAAAAGCAACAATGCTCTTGGGAGAGAAGGAGCTATACCACATCAAGACATTAGCCCTTTAACTGGAACGAGGAAGAAGAACCGAAATGTGCATGTTATAGGATAGACTCAGGTGTTCCTTTTTAAAATAGGGGCCTACTTTAATCTCTAACGCATTTTAAAAAACAGGAGTCCGTTTTGGGTGTCTTTTTCGCCAACTTGTGGCTGGACGGTAAGTGTTGCACATGAGTAATGAGCTCTGTTATTTATGCCTTTCTGATCAGGCTCCAATGGTGAGTCATACGTCGCTAATGCTATTTGTGGAGCTCAGGACTGCTGGCAAACTCAAAGAGAGCACAAAGCTATGGGAACTGCTTCAGGTGAAAATATTCAAAGCGTATTTACCATGGGAAAATAAAAATGACTGGTTTGGTTTTTTTCAATGCCGTTCCGCAATGTGCTTCCACCTGATAGTGCCACCTGAAGTGTCTTACATAGCATGAAGAGCATTGAATAAAAGACACAAGAGAAGCTCTGATAATAAAATATCTTATGTCGACCTGATAAAGTTAAAAGATGTCCCTCTTTTAACATTAAGAGAATCTTTATTTGTTGCGCAGTGGGGACATTTCAATAAAGTTGAAATAAATGCGTAATAGTTGTATACGATTTCAAACATTAAAATGTCAACTATACAAATTTCAACTATATGAAATATCAATAATCTTTCAACTTTGCTCTATATAACTTAAATATTAAACCATCAAATAATTGTTTTTTTGGTGCATCGACTAAAGTAGAGCTCCATCATAACAAAAAATTATAGTTAGTCAAAATAATGGCAAGTGCAATAATGTCATTAAAAAAAAAAAAATCATGGACTTTTAGTTTAAAAAAAAAAGAAAAGAATGTGAGAGCCCAATGATAAGTATACAGCATAGACATACTGTATATTGTTTTCACAGTCCTTGACACAGGACTGTATCCATTATCCATACATATAAAAAATATAATCATACACAGACTTCAAAAAATAATAATTGTCTTAAAGAAAGAAACTAATCTAATTTTCAAACAAATGATTGACAAAACAAATATCTAATTTTTTTTGTTAGCCCAAGAGCAAACAAAACGAGTTTGCACAGCAGTTATACTTGACACGATTGGAACACGTGCTTTACATTTGTCCAAGAATACTTCTCTGCCACCCTCCTTCTCACCCACACCCGCTACAGAGAAGAGAACACATCACCCCCATCCTCAAACAACAACTCCACAGTCTCCCTGTCCCATACCACATACAATATAAGGTCCTCCTCATCATTATCCGCTGAGAACTGCCCCCCCCCTCGTATCTCACAGACCTCCTCCATCAGCACTGTCCCTCCCCCCGCCTCAGATCCGCAGACTCCAACCTCCTCACTCCCCTCAGAACAAAGTGCCGAGCCTTGGGGGACCGAGCCTTCGCTGCAGCTGCCTCCTCTCTCTGGAACTCACTCCCGTCACATCAGGAACTAGGACCCACTTTCGGAACTTCAAATCCCAGCCCAAAACCCACCTGCCTACATTTCACTGATTAATCTGGTCTAATTCTTTTATTTATTTATTTTTATTGAGATAGTTTTGTGACCTTGCCTTTGCATTGAAACTGTTATTGTCGATTGATTTAACAGTGCCAATTGTTTCCTGTTTTATCCATTTTTAACCTTGTTTTATTTATGTACTTGTCTTGTGCACTCTGGGGACTTTTGTGGATGTATTCCAATGTGGTTTTACTGCAAATGGCACATAAATGAATCTGAATCTGTTTTGTAAAGCGTCATTAGGTGTCCAAGAAGCTTTTTGTTAGTATAACGCAATATCATTTACTGTTATGTCACCATTTGCGTTTGAAATCAACATAAAAAAAAAAAAAGCATTATTTTTTTGCATGAATACTTTCCCCCAGAACCTAACATTCAACTTGTCAACATTCAGGAGCAGAGCTAATTCACAAATTACCTGTAGCGTGAACACAACTGACGATAAGAGCCACACTGAGCAAAAAGCATGGCTGCATAAACTGTGCATGTGCCAAATCAATTATTCAGTATCGAAATGAAAACCCAGGAAAGATGATTACTTTCAGTGGGAGAATACAAATAGGAATGTGCAGGATTACGTTTTAGCTATTTACAGGCAGTGATGTCATAAGTGTAAGTCCATGTTATAAAACGTCCCTTTTATTTTCAACTGCTGCACAAAAGAAAGCTTTGGGAAAATGGGGTTGATTGGATTTTCAAATAATATACCATGTTTAAGCTGTACGCATTGTGTTGTTCTCTCTGTAACCATCGCTGGTCAATATCTCAAATATGAGTAAATTGTAGTTGTCCCAATACAAACTTGATTTATTTTGACAGCCACATTTTGTTCTCTATAATTTGATTGTTAAGCCAGAGTAAGCAGAAGACAGAGAGTAGGAGAAACGCATTAGCTGCAGGAAGCTGGCTCATGGGGAGGCAGAGATGGGGCTAAAATTAAACCTCACAGTGGATAGTGGCCATTGTATTCACAGTCCAGACACAGAGCGCCACTAACCAGCTTCACAAAAAACATGGTCTCATCTCTCACTGCTGGGTCTGGGAAACATGTGTTGATTTCAATACGAGTTCCCACTTTGAAAATCCACAAATATAAAATGAGACGTAGCGCATTTTGGACAGATACCTACTATTTTTCTTCTGTAAAGCGTCTTTGAGTGTCCAAAAAAGCGCAATATAAGTGCGATGTATTATTATTATTATTGTTAGATTGTTGATTTTAAAAATGTAGTCCCTGTGTGCATCATTAAAACAAACTTGAATGATCATTTTGAGTCAAACAGGGAGCTTATAACTTATGTCACTTTGAATACTATATGATCGGGCTGATTTTCCCCTCAACGTCTCCAATTGTTTCATTTAATTAAACAAAATGACTGCTGTCTACAGTATATTTAAATAGATATAAATATGTATTGCTTAGTTTTTTATTATTTTTATTTTTTTAAGTTCAAACCCCTTTATGTACTGTATATAGCACATTTCAAACTAAGTGCTGCACAGTAAAAAAAAAAAACATAATTAAAAAAATGAAAATGAAATGAATTAAAACAATAGCAAGACATTAAAATAACTACAATCAAATAAATAATACATACACACATAACTAGATAAAATCATCAGCTTAATTTCAGCATAAGATACCAATATCCGTCTCTGGAATGGTCCGGTCCGCATGTCTGAAAAAGAGATTCTGAAATCTCAGTGGGACATTCCAGGTAAAAAAAATAAATAAAAAAAACTGTAAACGTAGTCATGACAACATATAATTTATTTTCATTTATTGAAATCTGGTAAAATGGCCCACATTTTCTTAAATAAATGATAATAATTGTGTGTCTTGAGGACTAAATGTTCACTTTCTGCCTAATGTATCCCACACACTTAACACCAAGATGAAGAGATAATTTGAGTTATTACTTCACCTTTGCCACCCTCTCAAGAAACACTCGCCCAGATGCTTTTTTGGTTTGTATTTGTCCCTATTGATCACTTGAAA